GACCCCTGAACATGGATGTCAATGAGGAGGCCTCTGCACTCTAGGGGGCCCGTGGTAGTGGATTAGTATTTTTCTCTAGTGTAAGAAGGGACTTTGAGAGCCCATCCCACATCTCGGCCTAGACACATGGGGGAGGGCCTATGCCCGGCCCAATATGATATGGTGGACTTTGGGGAGCCCCAGTCGAGGGCCCTACCCAGCCTGGGGAGTGGAGAGGGAGGAGGGATTGACATGTGAAGCAAGCTTGTTCCTAATTTGAACTAATAAAAAAATTACAAAAAAAAAAAAACATTCCTTTACATGTGACTACAGATAACCTTTTCCATAGTGGAAAATGTCATTCAGGGCATCCTGGATCCTTCTCCATGGGCAGTGGTCACTTGTGTTTGCTCAGAACAAACTCTCTCTTACTCCCATTGGGACAAGAGCCTCCAGACTGACTAAGCAGCTGCTCAGAAAACAGCCGGCAGAAAGAACCTGAGCATTAGGGTCCCGGCAGGAGGTAAAATGAATTGCTCTAAGAGGTATGTGGTAATTGGGATGAGAAACGTCCCCTATGGATGCACACATTTGAACGTATTGAGAGTATTCTTTGGGGAACTTATGGAACCTTTGGAAGGAGAGCCTTGCTAGACAAAGTTCGTCCTTGGGGCCAGGCTTTGGGTTTTTGTAGCCTCACCCTACTTTATGCTCTCTCTGCTTCCTGTGCATGATCCTGCTTCCACTCCTTTCCCACCGTCAAGGACATCCAGCCCTCCGGAACCATAAACCAAAATAAATTATCTCTTCTACATTGCTCTTGGCCATAGTATTTCCTCACAACAACACCAAACAAGACAGCAAATTCCTATCACGACAGCCCTTCATTCACTTGGAGACTAACCCATCCCATAAGAGGGGCGGGGTGGAACTGAGCAATGCTAGAAATAACTCCTGTGCCCCATGGTCCCTTCCAACATAAAAATTATAGGGCAATGACTCTGGATTGGGGTTGGAGGGGATTCTTGGGAGCCCTGCTATGGTCTGGTGAGCTGATCAGCTGATGTCAATATGGTTTGCAGCCGCTCGTGTTCTGGGAGACAAGCTGTATGTGGTTAAGTAAACTCATTACGAAGCAGCAATGGGCAGAGGGAAGAGGCCACTTGGGTTCTTCAATCTTCCAGTCCTGAGCCAGTTTCTGTGGCTTTTCTGGGACTTCCTAGGGCTATTTGGAGTCAGTGGGCATGCAGAGACCCAAACAGCCTTGAGGTCAGGCAAAATTTCCAAGGACTGGCTCCCTGAATGTCTTAAGTGTACCCTCTCAGGGTGAATGGAACCCATCAAGCTGACTGTGCTCCCTACCTGTCCTGTGTACCAGGCTCCAGGTAAGCATGCATATCGTCTGCCTCTCCTGGGATCATTGCGCCTTGGTCTCAGAGACCATCAAGACAGGGAACAGACCAAGCTTCCTGCCTTGATCTGCTAATGACAATGGATGTACCTTGTGCAGAAGACCAGCATGGGCATATCTGCAAGTCAAGCCTTGAGCTCGTGCATGCCTTGAGCCCAGAAATTCGGAGCTGTTAGGAAGGATGCTAGGCTTCCTACAGTCTACTACTGAAGTCCAAGTATTTCCAGACTGTCTTCACAATCTTCAAGGCTGGGAGATCACATGGGTAGGCCCATACCAACTGTTCTTCATCCCCTCCCTCACCTCAGTAAACAAGCCTCGGGGGCCTGAATCTTCTGGGTTAGCATGTCATCCGAGTGTGCAGTGGGACAGGGGTCCAGGAAGGGCAATGTTCAGCATGCTGTTGTGCATATGTGGTTTCAGGCAAGCCTGTTTCTCTCTTTGGACATCAGATTCCGCTTTCTCTAAAAGAGTGAGAAACTAGACTGGCCTTTTTCCCACCTTGACTGTAAATCAGATTGTCTGAGTAGTGGCAAGACCCAGGAACCTGGGAACACAAAGATTCCTAGGCCTCATCCCAAAGCTAAGGAATCTGAACCTCCAGGGAGGACAAAATAAAGAAGCCTGGGCAGATCCTAATTCCCAACCTCAGCTCCAGCCAGGGAGCTGCAGGAGTCCTCTTTCTGAGTGCCCTCACCCCCTCCATCAGGGGCCCTCTGAGCGCCCTCACCCCCTCCATCAGGAGCCCTCTGTGTGCCCTTACCCCCTCTATCAGGGAGACCCTTAGGATTCATTGCTCCAAGTCATACCCCAACTCTTCCCAACTTCTCAGGCTCCTTGGGCCACAGCTGGAGTAAGCTTGCATCACCCCTTTCTCCAAAGAGCTGTGGAGGCTGAATCGCTGGTCAGTGAGCAGTTTATTACCCATCAACCTGTCCAGCCTGCCCAGATCACAGCCTGCACAGCCTGGATACCATCTTCATCCCAGTCAGTTCTGGCATCCAGCCTGTCTCCACCCTCGTGCCCTACCCTCCACATTCTCACTCCCTTTCAAGGCAGCACCAGGCCTGGGGGCCACACCTTCACTGGGAGAGGAGACAGGAAGATAGAAGCTGGGCAAAGAGAAACTAGAGTTGGCCCCAAGCTTCTGGAGCCAGCACCCCAGTGGAGAGGGCAAGGAGGCAGGGCTTCGGGGACCACTACATGTGGTTCAGGCAGGAGGCTCTTCTCCAGGACGTGCAGGGAAGCCACTCAGGTCTCGGCCAATGATCTCACTCACTGTAAAGGAGGGGCAGTTGAAAGATAGGGCTAAGGCAGATCTTTTCCTCTTCAGAGACCGTCCCCCTTCAATTCCAGGCAGGCCTCCAGCTAGGACACATCTGGATTCCTCTTTTGTCAGGCCTCAGTTTCCTCCGAGTCTCCTAACATCTGCTCCTAACTAAATTTTGTCCAGCTCCATCCATGTGGGTCCCCAGCCCAGTATCATAGCATTCTCCTGCCAGCTTGGCCTATGCCAGTGGCAGCAGGTCAGACATAGATGTCATCAGTTGGACAAAGAAGACATAAAACAGGAAAGTTTTCTTCGCCGAAGCAGACTACAGTCACCAGGGAAAGATAAGGCAAGGGGAAAATACTCAACTAAGCTTTCCACAAGCCACTGTCCCTCCCTGAAACGCAATGCTTGAATCTACCAATCAGAGAACTAGATGGAATGGCCTTGAAATACTTGTAGGGCCGAAATTTATAATTAGGGTAGAGGGCAGAGACAGAAAAACAACAACAAAAAGCTGGAAGATACTCCATGTGCCCTTCAGAATTTAGGTGCTGAATTCAGGTGACCACACACACACTTGATCTTGAGACTTCTGACTGCCCTGGAACACTATGGATGCCCAGACTCTGAGCAGCCCAGCTCCAGCCCTCGCCTACACACAAATCAATCTCTTGCACTCACTCACACTCACAGCCCCCAGTCCCACACCCACCTTCCTCCAGGGTGATACCCTGGATAGGTACATTGTCTCTGAAGCCGCTGCTGTAGCCACCCCTGGATTTCTCCTGCTCCGAAGCCCCCTCCCCAGGGGTATAGCCTGGCCCCACCTCATTGTAGCCCTCAGCAGGTAGGGGGTGGACAGCATTCTGCGGATTGAAGGGGTCTTCGAGTGGTGGGGAGGAAGGTAATGGAGGCCTAAAGGGGGCCTGAGGGGAGAATGGAAGCCCCAGGGCAAAAGAGGAGCCCTGTCCTCCATATGGATCACCAGGAAAGGGGCGGGGCAGGAAAGAGACCGGAGGTGGACGGGCACAACCTGTGGTACCTCCAGTCTCAGGGAACATCCGCAGGCCTGGTCTATAGGATGGTGGGGGCCCCGTCTGGGGGTACAGAGTGGGTGTGCTATAACCAAAGCTTTCTGACAGATAAGGAGTTTCGTAAGCAGGGTCTTCATGGGGATAGGAGGGGTAAGGGGGTCTGGGTGGTGAGAAGTCCATGTCAGTGCCAAAGGGGGAACCCGATGTGGAAGGGAAGCCCCGGAGAGATGAGTCTGGTAGGGGCTCCTCCTTGAAGATCACTGGGAAGATGAGGAGGCAGGAGGCTGGTGAGGTTCCGGCAGATCCACAGTACACACCTTCCAACCTCCTTCCCTTCGGAGGGTTCATCCGCCCCTTATCCCCTCACATCGGGGTCCCCCTCTGCCCCCACCACAGGCAGCCTTAGAGCGCACCAGGTAGGAACTTGAAACTTTGGGTAGGACTGCGCTTCCTCCGCCCGTTGGAGACGTAAAAGTAGACCTGGACTGGCCGGGATACCCGCTTGTTGCTGTACTCAGGGATGGTCAGAGTCAGTGTCACCTAGTGAAAACAGAGGATGAGACACTAGGGTCACCTAGTGAGAACAGGGGATCAGACACAAGTCCTTGAATATCTTACATCAGCCCAACCCTTCCATGGACCCAACCAACCCTTATCTGCTAGTTCTACAGCTGAAGAGCAAAGGTGAAGCTCTCTACTACAGCAACTAGACCTCCAAGCCAGAAAAGGCTACTCTGGAATCCAAACACATAAATAAGGGGCCCTCTTTTTTTCTTTTTCTTTTCTTTTCTTTTTTTTTTTTTTCTCTGTTTTTCAAGGCAGGATTTCTCTGTATCACCTTGGCTGTCCTAGAACTCATTTTGTAGACCAGGCTGGCCTGGAACTCAAAGATCTGGCTGTCTCTGCCTCTGGAGTGCTGGGATAAAAGGCGCCTGGCACCACTGCCCAGGCAAAGACCTTGTTTATTTGTTTTGGAGACAGGGTCTGTCTGTGTAGATCTGGCTGTCCTGGATCCCCCCTCTCTCTCTCTCTCTCTCTCTCTCTCTCTCTCTCTCTCTCTCTCTCTCTCTCTCTCTCTCTCTCCCTCCCTCTCTCTCTCTCTCTCTCTCGGCCAGAATGGCCTGGAACTCCAGAGGTCCTCCTGCCTCTAGGGGAGCCCTCTTGAGACCTTCCTTACTTCCTCCGCCCCTCGCCCCACACCAGGCTGGGTGGTGCCCAGGGTCTCTCCTACCTCGCTGCTCCGTAGCGGGTTCACCACAGCCTCCTCCTCCCACTGGAGCTTTCCATCTATACAGGAGAAAAGGAGCTCCAACCCAGCTCTAGGCCACCCACAGCCCCAGTCCCCACCCGCTCCCTCCTGCTGGAGTCAACACCAGATTAAAAAGATCCTCAGCAGGTCTGGCACAGACTACACCAAATGTTTACCCAATGAAAAGGACAGGTTTTTAAACTACCCCCAAGGACCTAGACAGAGTTAGTGTTAGCCCTGGAGCCCTCCCCACTATTGACTCAAACATCCCCTCCCATGATACCAGCAAGACGGACAGTGGGGTAGGAACGGAAGGGAGGCACTAAGACCAAGGTTAATGATGTGGACCCCGGGGTGATACATGTGGATCTCGGGGCTGGGCTATCAGCGAGAAGGGTCAAAGGAAGGAGAAGCCCAGGTTGGTGGTTGGAACCACCCCCACAGCTCCGTGTTGGAGCACCCCAGAGGCTCTCATAATCCAGCTGTGCTTTTCTCTCACAACTCAAGACAGGTCTAGGAGTGTCTACTACGGTTGTGAGTCTCACTTCACATACTTTTTTCCCCGGGGGTAAACCGTCTCAAAGCAATGTCCTCTTTAATAAGCAGGATGTGTATTTCCTGTATTTGCTCACTATCCTTGCTGTTTCAGATTGTGGTCACATCCATGAGAAACTGGTTGTACACAATGAGACTGAGGCTCAAGGTGGTGGTTTTGTGACAGTGTCAAAGTGTCACCTGCTGGTTGCAAGCTCTACTCCCCTCCTCTCCTCAGTGGGTACTCACCAGGGCCCCTCTCGATGAATACCACCTTAGAGTCTGGCAGGAAGTTGGAACCAGTCAGCACTAGTTCCTCCCCTCCTCTCACAGAGCAGGCACTGGGGCTGTAGGCCTCCACCTGGGGCAGCTCCTGGGCTGAACGCTGGGCTGCAAAGTATTAAGCCTGGCTGGACTGGGTGCAGAAGGGACAGCCCTATCCAGCACTAAAGCTCCAGGGGAGCCCTCTTTCCAGGGGCAAATTCAAGATAACCAACAGCAGCCTTGAAACCGCACAGACTGTGTAGGGACCACTCCCGAGGCAGAGACAGAGCAGATAGGTACAGGTTCATCTGGACCATCCCTGAGACAGTCTGTAGCAGGGGCAAACTAAAATACCACCTTCACCTCTCCCTCTTATAGGAGGAGGAGAGCTGAGTCCTCTATAGGGCTACCCACGACACACAGGACACAGGGCACTATGTAGAGGAAATGGGTGACAGACAGACAAAATAGGGGCAAGACAGAGAGAACTGGCCGGGGCCTATTTGCTCACAGCACTCGATGGGCACGGATGCTGCCTGCACAGAGACGACCTTCCCGCCGCCCTGAGGCACGTGTACACGGAACACCAGCCTCACACGTGTGTTTTTGCGCCCGATGTCTGTCTCACCCTTCCGGAGCTCAATGTCTGAATTCCGAAGCTTCAGGATTCCAGCACAGTCAATGCTGAAGGTAAAGATCAATCAGTAAGCTTTATGAAACAAAGCTGTCCAGAGGGGACACCCCTACCCTCAGTCCAAGGCCATAAGACTGCCTAAGGGTGCTCAGAGGGACTTTTAATCTAGAGATGACCTCCACAGTTAAGATCCCCAGCCTCAAAATATACTTTCTTAGACATGAAGGCCAGAATGCAGGTGGGGATGCGGTTTAGGGGCAGATCACTTGACTAGCATATATAAAGTTCTAGGTTGGGGCTGGAGAGGTGGCTCAGCGCTGAAAAGCACTGACTGCTCTTCTAGAAGACCCAGGTTCAATTCCCAGCACCCACATGGCAGCTCACAACTGTCTGTAACTCTAAGATCGGACTTACACAGACATACATACAGGCAAAATACCAATGCAAATAAAATAAAATAAATTATAAATAAATTATAAAAAAAATAAAGCCCTAGATTGAATGCTCAGGACTTTAGGAAGGAGGAGGAGGTTGAGTTGAGGATATAGCTCAATAATACAAAACTGTTGCAGAATATCTATCTGTACACTGTGTGAAGATGTGTTGCTGTGATTGGTGCAACAAAAGGCTGGATGGCCAATAGCTAGGCAGGAGAGACAGGCGGGACTTCCAGGCAGAAGAGAGGAAGAGGAGGAATTGAGGCAGGTAAAAAAGCACTAGGAGACATGGATAGAAAACAGGAGATTTGGGGCTGGAGAGATGGCTCACAACCATCCGTTATAAGATCTGGTGCCCTCTTCTGGTGTGCAGATTTACACGGAAGCAGAATGTTGTATACATAATAAAAATAAATAAAATCTTTTAAAAAAAGAAAACAAGAGATTCAAGATGGAAGAGAGGTAATGCCACATAATAGAATATAGATTAGTATAAATGGGTTAAGTTATAAGAGCTAGTTAGGAACAAGCCTAAGTGACAGGCTGAGCTTTCATAATTAATAAGAAGTCTCCAGGTCATTATTTGCAGGCTGGTGATCCAAAGGTAGTCTGGCAAGCCAGCTTGCTATATGTGATACCCAACGTGGGTCCTCATAAGGCCTGAGAAAGCAAAGAGAGAGAGAGAGGGAGAGAGAGAGAGAGAGAGAGAGAGAGAGAGAGAGAGAGAGAGAGAGAGAGAGAGAGAGACGAGAAGGAAAAGGAAAGAAGAAAAAAAGAAAAGTTCTGAACAAGCAGCTCCACTCTCATTGATCCTAAGGGGGCAGAGCCAGTATCCAGGCCATGTGCTAGAGGAACCTCAAAGCAGAGATCCTCGCCACTGCTTAGCAGTTTAGCAGTTTAAGGTTTGGCTTGTACATCACAGAATGCTGCGGGTGCTTAGTAAAGTCAGGTCCAGGCCAAAAAAAAATCCTCTGAACAGGTTACAGTATGCATAAAAATATGCTTAGATGCTGAAGAAAAAAGGAAAATTAATATAGACAGTCATAAAAATAGTTTTAAAATGATAAAGTCTTTTCTTTCTTTTCTTTTTTTTTTTGTTTTTTGTTTTGTTTTGTTTTGTTTTTTCGAGACAGAGTTTCTCTGTGGCTTTGGAGCCTATCCTGGAACCAGCTCTTGTAGACCAGGCTGGTCTCGAACTCACAGAGATCCACCTGCCTCTGCCTCCCGGGTTCTGGGATTAAAGGGGTGTGCCACCACCGCCCGACAAAAATAATAGTCTTTAAAGAGAGAATGAAGTAATATAAAAAGAAAAAAAATCACATAAAGACGGGAAATACACAGGGTGTCTGAATCCTGTACAGTGCTTTATTGTCTTTGAATTTTTTAAATGGTATAAACAAAACAACAATTCTGCTGAGAGACATTAGATTATAGAAACTGATAAATTAAACCAACCTATATATTTTAAGAATGCCTTAACTTCAAAATGGAAGTCAGAAAATACATTGTGTTGGGGAAGAGGTTATGCCTTTGTTTTCACAGGAAGTAAAAAGGTATGATACTCTTCAAAATTAATAAAGATCAGATATGATTGGGGGAGACCTCCTGAAAACCCTGGCTACAGACATAAATAAGAAATCAAGGAAGACTACAAGACAAGTGGCATATATGCTGATCCTTCTACTATGGGAACAGCTCTGAGACTGGATGAGACATGATAAATCTGGCTACAGAGACTCATGACTTATTATTACATGCCATCCTTTTATATGGCATGAATAGAGGTTTGATTACATGGACTTATAAAGTTGACAGACAACCTTTACCTGCTCAAACATAGAACAAAAATTCACCTTTAGCCAGCTTTTGCATACCACAATTCCATACTTGTGTTAATACAGATAGATAGATAGATAGATAGATAGATAGATAGATATGTTGCCTTTAAAAGTTGGTATGTTTTCAGAAAAAAAGCAACAGACAACAATAAAGACAAGTAGCCCAGGTGATCCTGCCACTCAGAATGCCTCTGTTGCAGTTTCTTCAAAATTCTGCATTCATAACAACTTTAAAGCTGCTAGCTGAGATGGTCCAGCATCACAGACTATCCAGCTAAGACTTCAGATAAGCTCTACACTTTCCCATCGCACAGAGACTAAACAAAAAATAATACATCTAGCTCTCCTAGAACTTAACCATTATCACAATTTTCTCAGGGTCCCCCAAAGATGCTATTGTCCCAGACAACAGGAAGCAGTCTAAAGAACATGATGCCAACATTCCCAAGAGGTGAGGTTGATGGGTTTTGGCCATTCAGTGGATTATGGATGTTTAACATCATTTAGGCGAGGGGTGTGTGTGGTTACAAGTTGTTGTTGGTCATGGTCAGGAAAAAAGCTGAACAAAGGAGATTAGATTCTGGTATCTCTTTCTGAAAAGAGGGGATATGTTATAGAAATAATGGGATAAAAGGGTGGATTATTGAGTCTACTTTTGAACCATCACTGGTCTCAATTATTTTACATTGGTATGGATTTTTTTATATTGATACAAATTTAAGGTTATTTTTCTTATACTTATATATGCTTCTTGCTGGAAGCCTTTATCATTTATTACAGAAGTAGCAATTAATATTCTAAATATCAACTCCAGAATATTTGTTATTACAAATTTGGCTATATATAGAATATATACTGCTTTGTATTCTCAAACATGCCCCAGGGAAAGAAATTCCTTTTCACTGGGCCATCAGTGGTAAGAGCTGCAGCCTCTGGATCTCCACATTACATAGCCTTTGTTTTTTCCCTTTGATATAACACTGAGAAGTCCGCTTTAATTAGTTAACAGCACACGTGGCAAGTCACATCTCCCCTGAGACTTAGGTTTGCCAGGACATTTTGCAAGTAATGTCCAGGGGGAGAGACACGAGGCACCTGCTTTTCTCAAGATCCTACCTGCCTTCCTGGCTCTGAGAGACATGCATGCCCTATTGTCAGAGAGTTCTTAAATGTGCCGGTGGGATAGAAAGAACTTTTGGAGACTTTTTGGAAGGAATCTCGAGAGAATTTTTAAGGAGGACTTTTGAAAGAGAACTTTAAGAGAGAACTTATAGTGGGAAAATTATTAGTGAGAACTTTTAAGGGGAAATCTTTAAAAGAGCTAAAAGAGCTATTGAGAGAGAACCTTTGGGAAGAACACTTTTTGAAGAATAAATAGCCATCTCTATCTGCCTGCTATAAGCCTCCTCCCTGAACCCCTGATAGTTTCTACTCTTTTTTTTTTTCTGAACTTCAGCATGAACCTCAAAATCTGTTTCTGGGTTATAACTTTTGGTGCTATAGACTATTGCTTGATTCTTTTTTTATTTTTTATATATTTGAATTACAAACAAGATTGAATTGTACCTATGCAGCTCCTTTAAAAATATAAAGTTTTAGTCCTTGAAAGCTAGTTAAGATAATAAAGAAAGACATATTAGACTATAACAAACTTGTAGTCATATTGGGTATGCTTTCAAGGTTAAGCAGACACATTTTAGATATATAGGTAGTCTTCAAACACTTCAGAGAGCTAGAGAATATGGAGTTTAAGATGTTCATAACATAAAGCTTTGGATGACAGTGAGACACGTCTGCTCCTGGCAGCACCAATTTACTTTAAAAAAAGGATGATGGGCATCAAAGAACCTCCATATGGAGTTTGCTTTCAATGTGGCAAAGCTAGCCATTTGGACAAGAAATGCCCTTGCCTCAACCACCAACAGAATACTGTCCAAATTGGGCAAGCAGGACACAAATGAAAGCGACTGCTAAACTTTGCCAAGACAAGGTAGGAAAGTCCTTCAAAATTCTTGCTTCTTACCGGGTGTTGGTGGCACACGCCTTTAATCCCAGCACTCGGGTGGCAGAGGCTGGCAGATCTCTGTGAGTTCAAGGCCAGCCTGGTCTCCAGAGCAAGTGCCAGGACAGGCTCCAAAGTTACACAGAGAAACCCTGTCTCGAAAAAAACAAAACAAAAACAAAAACAAAATTCCTGCTTCACAGAAAAGTCTGTCAGATATTCTAGGCCTGTAGGCTGGAGATAGATGCCCCCAACGATGCAGAGGGACCTTGGATGACTGTCCAGGCAGCCAGCTATCTCTGTCATTTCTATAGTTTTGGAAGTTGTTTGCTCTACACTTCCTGTTTACTCAGGTAATATATTCTTCTCTGGTCTTAGATGGGGTTGACGACTACATAGTTATGGCTACAGTTTTCCATTTTACCAAATTCAGAAAAGAAAGTTACATAAGAGATGTAAAGTTTAAAAAAAAGAGAGAGAGATGTAAAGTTTATAAGGTTGAGAAACATAAAAGCTTAAGTTGTTTATCTAAGAAGATGTTTTAAGATCTAAAAAGATATTTGTTAGGATGGTAATACATGTTATGATAGAAAGTGGTTTAGGTATAAAACTTTGGACTCACTAAGATAGGGTAGATATTTTCTCCGAATTTGCCAAATACAAATGGACTGGACATTATGAATATATTTCTTACTTGATAATTGTTCTTACTCTATATAGTTTACTATGTCAGAATTAAAATCTTTCCTTTTTATTTAGACAAAAAGAGGGAAGTGCTGCAGAAATATTTGTACAGTGTGTGGAGATATGTTGCTGTGATTGATGCAATAAAAGCTGAACAGCCAATAGCTAAGCAGGAGAAATAGGTGGGATTTCCAGGCAGAGAGAAAGGAAGAGGAGGAGGAATCAAGGTGCCAGGAAACAGAGAGAGGAAGCAGGAGGTGCAAGAGGTAACACCACATGATAGAATGTAGATTCATATAGATGGGTTAATTTAAGTTATAAACGCTACTTAGGAACCAGCCTAAGCTATAGCCTGAGCAGTCTGTGTTGTTTTTGGGGAGCTGGTGGAGGGACAGAGAAAGACTTGCTACACAAAACACTTCCCTAGAAGGAAACTGACTTGGAGTGATAATGTCTAGCTCTTGGGGCGGGGGGCAAAGTGGGCCTCTCTGATCCTAAACCCTGCAGACTAAGGGAAAGCTGGCTGGGGACTTACTTGGCAGCCATGTTGTTCTCTGGGAGCAAGGTCATCTCCAATACTTTGGTACCACTGACTACAGCTTCATAGCTGGCCGTAGCCACCATCTTGCCAGTAATACGGTGCACCTGGTAGAAGGCATGCGGCCGCAGGCTCCTTTCATCTGCAGTGCCAATGAACATCTGTAGAGTCAGTGGCTTCTCACTGTAGCCTAGGAGCTGACAGAGGGAGACAGAGGCCACCTAGTTGAAAGCCCCAGTGTCATTTGCCCTTCATCCATCCTTGGATTTTCTGTCCAAGGATGGGAATGGTGAAAGATAAAGAATATCCTATAAGGGATTCCCTGTGGGAAACTGGGCATCGGTTGTAGAGAAAATGTGGCTTGAAGTTCACAGTGTTATTCTTGGAAGGCCCAAACTGGGCTGGGCAAAGGAGGAAGAGCTTCCAAGAAAGACTAGCCCAACTCAATATAGAGAAAACCTAACTCCCAGTGACCTTTGGCCTCAGCTGAAACCCTCCCCCACATCTGGCAAGTCACCATTTTCCAAAGTAGACATGAGGCTGCTGTCCCACGGGATAAGCTGGGGAGGGTGGGGTGCAGGAGAAAGAAGAGTAGAAAGTGTATCCGGGTCCTTGCTGTGTATCCTTCCTTTCCCAGTTCCAGCCCCTCCCCTAGGCTGCCTGCAGGGTCACAGCTGAGACAGAGTGTGGGAAAGGGCAGTGCCACAATTCTGTGCACAGCTGAGGCCCATTTGCAGGAATCTGGGATGGGAGAAGAGAAAGAAAGCCGGCCCTGCCTTCTGTCCCTTACCTTGACCACAGGGTGACCTCCGGGAGCAGCTTTGACCGCTCCTCGGCTGCCCTCGGTCTCGTAGTGGGCTCGGTGGTGTGCTCTAGGCTGCACCTCAATCCTCAGCTCCAGCTGCTCATACTGGCTGGGCAAAGGCCAGTCCAGGGGAGGTAGGGCAGAGGTCCTGGGTAGAAGAGGAGATCATCTGGAACCTCAGACCCATCAGGATCACACTAGGTTTGTGAGGGAGGAGGCAGTGTGGGTATGGGAGAAATAAGAAACCTCAGCAAAAGTAAATTCCAAAAGCTCAGAAACAGGAAGTGATGGGGAAGATGGGGGTGGCAATGGCCCCAGACTCCCTTCTCCCAAGTTCTGGACAAAGGGGTTGCAGGTTTTACTAAGAACAGAGGAACCCAGAGGCCGTATTTGTCCTCTGACCTAGGAGGGCAGGTACAGCACAGAAGCGCCACTTTAGACCAGAAAAAGGATCAGACAAATAAAGCGACTGAAGGCAACAGTCTACAGTAGAACCTAGGGCTGGCTACTCTGCTACCAGGCCAGCTCCCTCCCAATAGTTAGGGATAAGTAGGAAAAGTTGCAAGAGCTAAGGGCTGCTCTTCTAGAACTGAGCTTACAGATACTCTCCTAGTAAATCTCAGCTGGTAACTTCCTGCCTCTCCTGCCCAGATAGTTGGCCATCTTTTAATTGCCATAACTAATGTAAAAGGTGATACCAGTGTCTAATGAATAAAGGCCTAGGAGGATGCTCAGCCATTACAGTGTCCAGTACAGCCCTGCACTACAAATTGCCCAACTCAAAACAGTAGTCAACCAAGGCTGAGAAATGTTGACTATGGAATCCCAGAAGGTCCATCTTCCTTCTAGAAACTTTTCAATCTGACAGCTCAAGGTTTAGGACTATTGAAATGAGCAGGATTCTTTGAGAGAACAGAAGGGTTAGAAATGCAAGTTTCAATATAAATTCTTAGACTTGCAAATACATGTAACTTTATTCATACTTGAAGTGTTGCTCCTAAGCCATGGACCTAGAAATTAAGAGTTAGTGTGGGGCTTCTTGCAATGGAATATAGGGCTCTTCTGTCTGTTTTGTCCAAACAGCCAGAGACTAAGATCAACCTGCCGGTGCCAGAGCTGATCAGGAGGTGTGAGGAAACCCTAAAGGAACTCCATTTTACCTAACTCCTCCTCTTAGAATACTGAGGAGATCTTTTCTAATAGGTCCAATGAAGCAGCCATCTACAGCTCAGCCCATTGTCAGTTTGCTGGCTTTTTTTTTTTTTAAACTAAATTGCCTTCAAAGTAAGTAGGTGCCTGGGGCCCTGTTGCAGAAGCTCTTATGAGACATGGAGAACACCTAGAACTAGGACCTGTCTTTAATCCCATCCTTTGACCTTCTTGCTCCCTGCCTAGGATGGGTTAAAGAACACAGGGGTGCCAGATCTGGCCCTCACCTGAAGATGGGGCTGTGTCCCCCAATCCGGGCCTTGGACCAAGCAAGAGGAGAAGGTACTGCTAGATAGTCCATACCAGTCACCTCTTTCCGCAGACCCCCTGGAGCAGCCACAGCCTCCTCTGTTCCGGAGGGCAGCTTCCCATTGCACGAGGCAGGCTCCTCAGACCGAGGCAGGGCCACCGCCTGCTCGTTAGAAGTCCTCCGGGTTTTCTGAGGGATGCTCTCGTTTGTTGGAGCTCCCGCATAGTCAAAAGGGCCTGGAGAACTAGGGTCCCTGACCAGAGGCAATGGGGGTGGCGGGGGTGGCTCTGGACCCTCTTCCCCAAGGCTGCCCCGGCGGGACAGAGCTGGGGAGGCCGAAGATGGGGTTCCTGAACTGGAATAGCGCCTCTTGCCACAGGGTGAAGCAGGCCGAGGGGAGGCAGGGATGGGCCCAGGAGCGCTGAGGAGTAGCCAGCTATCCTCTGGCGCTCGGCCTCCTGAGCTTGGACCGTATAGGCTCCACGGATCCTCCGGGGTCCATGGTCTAGGAGAAGCCCGGGGCGAAGGCAATGGAGAGCTCAAGCCAAAGCGGGAGGCTGCTTCATTAAGTTCAGACTCCACCTCATCGCATGCTGCATACAGGGCGGCCTCGTCTGAGGCATCGGAGAAGAAGCTCCACGAAGACAGGCTGCTGCTGCCAGGGCTCGGGCTGGAGGAGGCAGCCCCGCCCTGGCCTCCGGCCTCTCGGTAGCCCCCGTAGCCTTCTGGTGGGGGATAATCTCTAGGAGAGCTGTCCCCCCAGGTTTCAGGCGTGTCCTCTAGCGAGGTCGGTGGGTCAGGCGTGGGAGAGATGGAGGTGATCCGGATGCTGGGACATTCAAGAACACTTCTGCCCCCAGAACCCCCCGCACTCCCTCCTGGCCCCCCCAGCCTCACCCACAGAGCTGGCTGGCTCCGACAGCATGAAGGGGCATCCTCTGAGTCCAGCTCTGTCAGAAAGGGCAGGAGGGGAGAGGGAGAGAGAGAGAGAGAAAAAGAGAGAGAGAGAGAGACGCTGGTAAGATGTCTAGGTTCCTCGGATAGTCAACTCCCAAAGCCTGATGTGCTCAGCTAGAGGGTCTGCTAGTCTCAGGACAAAAGTAAAGTTGAACATCAGAAGACGAACACGAGATACAGGCATGACAGAACCCCATATTCTAAATCCCTGGTCCTGGGACCTAGGGTACCAGAGAAGGCGGGACTTAAGGTGAGGACAGTGGGCTGAAGAGTGCTAGAGAAGGGCCTGGAGGTGTGTTTGCCCAGGCTCTGGGCTGGGCCGGGGGCGACTCACACATGAACCCAATTAGTAACGGTTCCCAAACCCCCAAATGGTGCTGGCAGAAACCCCAGTTACCATCGCAACGGTGGCCTGGGGGTGGGAAGGATGGGGGCATGTCTGTGGTGACAGGAGGAGGTGGCTCCTCCCTCGCCCCCCCAAAGGGGGGCGGGGGTGCCGTCGAAGGGTGATGCGTGCGGGGCCCAGCCAACGCTGGGGGGGGGGGAGCGGGCAGCGCGGATTCCGTGCGAGCGGTGGCCGCCGCCCCCGGCTCGATCCCCGCCATCTGCCTCTCATTGCGGCTAGACAGGGGGAGGGGAGGAGGAGGGGTAGCCCCTGCTTTGCCCGAAAGAGCCCCCAGCCCCAGGCGTCACGTCTGCAGAACGAGGCCTAAGTCCGAAAGCCTCAAACTTCACAGCCAACCCTCCCCTTTCCAAGCCGGCGCCCCGGGCTCTTGGGGACCGTGGTTCCCTTCCGCCCCCCATCTCAAAGACAGTCGGCCTAGCCGGGAGGCAGAGACTAGCCAACAACACCCCCACTCCCACCCCACTCACGACCTAAAAAGGAAAAAGTGGTGTCATGGCCCCCTGCCTCACTTCCTCAGCCCCGGTAGTCCCTCAGCTCCCCTCAACCCCGGACCCAGCTCAACCCCCACCCCAGGCTCGCTGCCTCCAAAGTGTCCTGACTCAGATGGGCCCAGCCCTTCAGTCACTGGCCAAAAGACCCTTTCCAAGCCGCACACTAACCTTCCCCAGGGCCCCCCGCGCCCAGCGGGGGAGCCTCCTTTTCCTCCCCGAACACCAGCTTAAATTCCAGCTCTTCATCCTCGCAGCTTGCAGCCCCCATGGATCCGGCCGGAGCCCCCAGGTCCTGCCTGGGTGGGAGGGGGAGGCTCTGGACGCTGCTGTAGCTTCACGCGCGGGTGGCTCCCTCCCTCCCTTCCTCTGGGACGCCCCCTCTTCTGTCGCTGCCGCCTCCCTCCGGACGCCCCCTCGTTATTATAGAAACTTTTCCAAACTTTTTTCCCCCAAACTTCTTCAAAGCGGCCCCCCCCAGCCTGTCCCTGAATGGCTCCCCAGGGTGGCCCTGCCCCGCCCCAGGACCCTAGTGGTACCTATTGGTTCGCAGTTGTGACAATCACTTCTCGCTGGGATCCCAGACTTCAGCCTCTTTAGTCTCAGCTGGGGGCGGGGATCCGAGTCTCCTTAAAGAGCCATATTCTGGGCCCCCGGTGCAGCGGGCCCACGGTACATCCTTCCTTAAGATCTGAAGAGTAGTGTAGCTAGCATCTCCCAAGAAAGGCCGGGCTTCTGCGCTTCCCATTCTAGTCTGAGTAGGAGAGAGTTCTGGGATTGAGAGAGGCTCTGAGCTGTTCTGGAGAGGAGGCCGTTCTTTCCTCCACCCTCGCTGAGACCACTCCACCTGGGCCTTCAGGGAGCTTTTGCACTCCTTACCCATCGCCTCCACCGGCCACTCCTCCCATCCCCTGAAGATGAAGAACTTTTAGATGCTCGGAAAGCCTCTCAGACCCTTCTAACCCCAGGAGCCTTTGAAGGCCCACAGCCCCTTCTGGGCGTATATCCAGGCCGGGCTTTGCCGATACCCTTGTCCTAGCCACCTAGATAGGCCATTAATTAGCCTCCACGGAGGAAGTCGGCTCCCTCCGCCCAGGAGCAGCAGACTAGAATGGCTCTCTGATCCAAGGGCATCCCTCCTCCATGCTCTCCTAAATTCCTGGCCAGGTTTAGAAGGGGCTCCGAAGATGAAAACTTAGGCCCCAAAGGGTGGACACCTGTCACCTGGGCAGGGGAGGAAGACCTGGACTGGAGTTTCTAGGAAGGGCCAGCAGAGAGAGTCCCAGTTGGAAGAAAAGAAAGTGGGACCGGAGACTCTTGATTCGGACTGCAGGTGCTGCGGGGCAGGGAGCAGTCACCGCTCTCCACGCAGGCTAACCAATTGCTTCAAACTTCCCTAACCGGATCTCTAGTCTCTAAATCCCTCAGGCTCCCTGCCACGCC